ATGGAAACATATAAGAAAAAAAAATTATATTTATATTAATTAAATAAAAGAATCACATAGATATTGTATCTCTCTCTCTCTCTCTCTCTTTGTCTCCCCAAATGGAATAAGTTAGTGAAGGTCATAGAGAAAAAAAATTTTTTATTACGTAATAACAAAGGTTTTCGGATAGGAATAAAATAAATCATTTGTTAAATTAAAATCAGACATTCCGTGAAATGAAACTTCTATTTAATAATTATTATTATTTTTTAATTTTTAAAAAAATAATAGTAATGGAGTTTGATGTTAATTAATGAGGGATTAATTATTTTTTTGATTGAACTGGAATGAAGATTTTAACCCGATATTTATTCCAGGTATTCCAGGGGTGCGGTTTTTTGTTTTTATTCCACGGATTCCATTAATATTCGTTTCACATAAAATTGTTGTTGTTTTTCACGTCTTATAAATAAATTTTAACGAACGGTAACTCATGTTTTCCTCTGTTGTTAAAAAAAAAAAAATTCTTTTGTTTATAAAAATTTTATAAAAAAATTAATAATAATAATTTTTTTCGAAGTAAATCTATAAGATGAAAGGTAAAAGTCAATCAATCAATCAAATAAAAATAAATTTTACCTGAGATTCATCTTAAAAAATTATTAAGGTTATTAATGTAACAAACAACCTGTATGAAACCTTGACCTTTTGATAACACGCATAAGAAAATATTAATTATAATATTTGTACGAAAATAATAATAATAATATAGCAAGTAAAAACGATTTTTTTTAACGGATTTACAATATTTACAAAAATAAAAAAAATAATAATAATTATACAAACAAAAACAAACAGATTTGTGATAACGTTAAAAAGGGTGATAACGTATAGAATTGTATTTAATACGGTAGCTAGTGACGTCATTCCTATTTTTTTTCATATTAATAATGATACGCACGTGTAAGGGAACCTTTTCACGTCAATTAAAACATTTAAAAAATATTTCTAGAAGGTTCTAGAAGGTTTATTATAAGGGTCTCTGAAATAAATATTTTTTATTTTTAATGAATTGTAATAATTTTCGAAGGGACCTGTATAATTAAAAATCGTATATGAGTGTAGAAGGGGGGGGGGTAATGTATTTACAATTAATATTAACTTTTGAAATAATTAATTATTATTATTATTATTAATAGTCATCACCTAGTGACCCTAGTATTGTAAAAATTTTTTAAAAAAAGGTCGTTGATATAAACTTTCGTCGTATAAAAATAATAAATTTTTTTTTTGTTGAAAAAAGTAAGAGAGAGAGAGAGAAACGTCGCGTAATACAGAAAACCGTTTTTATTTCAGGTTCAGGTGTTTTTTAGCTTGACACACACACACAAGCAGGTAAAAGGACCTTTTTACGACGAACAAGTTGGGAAAGAAATATATAAGGTAAAATACGAATAATCTTTTTTTTTTTTTTTTATTATTTTACTCTTGTCATCTATGTTGTTTAGTTCTACCTTTTTTTTTTTTTTTTAGGTTTAAGGCTTTGCTTTTATACTTTTAAAATTTTATACCTGAAGAAGAGAAAAAAACCAACTTTAAAAATATTTAATCTGACATCGTATTGAATTTATAGAAATTAAAGTAGAGAAAAATTATCTGGATTCAAACCAAATTTAAAAAACTAAATTTTTATTTTTATCTATTCGAGTTTATTATTTAAAGATGGCGACGACCTCCTTTGTGAAATTGGTCCCCAAGTAAGATTTTTTATTTTTTAATAACTTTTTTTTTTGAAAATATTTATTAATATTTAATAATTTTGCAAATGTAAATAAAAATTTATTAATTATTTAAATTTTTTTTTTTTTTTTTTTTTTGGGTTAAAGGTGAAACATTTCCAAAAAAAAAAAGTTTTTAAAGGTTTCCATTGAAAGTGATTGAAAAATACATACGAGGAGGGAGAGGGGAAGGAAGGGAGGGGAAAGAAGGGGGATAAGAGAAACGAAAATAAATTTTTTTTTTTTTTTAAATGAAAGAAAGTTACATAATTTTAAATTATTATTTCTTAAACGGTTAAAAATAAAATTGTTATGAAATAACAGACACACACACACACACACACACACACACAAACACACAAGCTAATAGTCATCCTCATTAAAAATATTATTATTATTTCACCCCAAGGAGAATTTGTGTGAATTTTTTTCTTTTTTTTACCCTAGATGTGGTTAATTTACGACGGATACGGATACGTGTGAGAAAAAATAAAAAAAATAAAAAGTTTATATAAGAAAAAAAAAAAAAAGATGGAGGGATATTAAGTAGGTGAAAGGCCGATACTTGTTAAAGCACGATTTCTTCTTCTTCTTCTTCTTCTCTTATAAAATGAATGAAAAATCCTTTTTAAAAATATAATAATAATAATAATAGTTGAACTCTTACCAATTGACCTTGTTCTTGTTGTTGAATTTCATCTAGCAAAAAAAAAAAAAAAAAAATTTAATTTTAAACAAAAATCACGTATTTTTTTATCTCAAAAAAAAAACCAAATCGATAAATCCATTAATAAAATTTTTTTGAAATTTTATAGAAAAAATTAATTAATTATTTCTTTTGTAATATCCTTTTAGTACAAACACACCAATTTAAATTACAACAAAGTGAAAAATAATAATAATAATAATGTGGGATAATGTCGTGAAAATTTAACAATTGAAAAAAAAAAATTAATTTCAATTGCAAATTAATTTTTTTTTTTTAAATTCGAACGAACGCAAATTATAGAGGAAAATAAATTTAATTATATATGGGTAAAAAGAAAATAATTTTCTTTCTCTCTCTCTCACTCTGAGGTATTTAGTTTGATTAAAACATTTTAAATTTATGTAAAAGAAGTAAAGTTTAAAAAAAGTTGAAAAAAGGACAGACGCAGTTTTATAAAGTAAATAAAATCCGATAGTTTCGTCTGGTACGGTCGTGGTACCAGTCTGTGACTTTACTTACTCCCAAAACATTTAACTTTGTTTTTTTTTATTTTGTTACAAAAATTTTTAAAAAAAAAATTTAAAACGTTTTCTTGTGAGAAAGAAAAAAGAAAAGAATTAAATTAATTTTTTTAAAATTAAAAAAAAAAATTATCCTCCCCGGCGGGGAATCGAACCCCGGTCTCCCGCGTGACAGGCGGGGATACTGACCACTATACTACCGAGGACTTGTTGTGTAAAACGATAAAAGTTTAATTATTTAAGTGTGACTTAATGTATAAAACTTGTGTGCTTTTTTTTTATTTTTATTTATTATTAAAAATTATTTATTTATTAAAAAAAAAACACACAATAATGGTTTTAATTACAAGTGAAAATTAAATTTATAAAATAATACATGAATAATAATATTATTAATTTCAAAATAGATCAATAAGAGAAAGAATTTTCTTTTTTCAGGTAAAAATTCTTCATATTACAATTTTATTAACATTAAAAAACTCAAATATTTCAAATTGTTAAAAACGAAACATTTAAATTAATTAAAATAATAAAATACCAAAAAAAATCATAATAATAATTATTTCAATTGAAAACGAGTAATAAAATAATTTTTTTTTAATTACATAATTTTATTTAAAATGATTAAAATTCGAAATTTCGTCATTTAAAAATTTACGTAAACTTATTTATTTATTTATTTTTTGTTTAAATTACATAAATTTTATGGTTAAATAGATATATATATATATATATATATATATATATATATATATATATATATATATATATAATTTTCAATTTCCATAGGTATTTTTTTTTATGTGGGATCACATCTTACATAACCCATGCATTACATACCTTATTTTGATTGAATTTTAGTTTTTAATTAACAAATGAATCCTTAAAATAAAATAATTATAAAAAAAATATTATTATTAACAAGAATATAAATGTTAATAATACTGTGTAGTAAAAATAATAATAAAAAAAATGTAGAAAAATAATAATAATAATTGTTTAAATTATGGTACATACACATACGTAAATCAAAACCTGTTTTGTTTTTTTTTTAATAAACCTGAAAATCTCATAGCGCCCTCGTTTTTTTTTTTTTACCCAATTTCCGTTATACAGTAAAATTTAATGATGATGATGATGATGATGTGCACATAAAAATTAATATTATATAAATGATGTATTTGAATAATTAATTTTTTGTCCCATTTAATATTAACTTAATTAAATGTCAATGACAAGATTCTTCTTTTTTTTTTAAATAAAATTTATTTAATCTTATTCAATATGCTTTCATTATTATTATTATTATCTTTTTTTTGAAAATATTGTTTTAAAAGTAAAAAAAATTTATTATTCCTTTTATCGATTATTGGTAAAAACATTAACGGTTATTAATTATTAATTTTTTAAATGGTGACCATTTAAATAAATTTATTTGTTTACGTCATATTCATAGTAAATTATGATATAGAAATAAACAATTTAAAAGAATTTATTAATTAGTAGAAGGCCACTCGCATCGGTGGTTCAGTGGTAGAATGCTCGCCTGCCACGCGGGCGGCCCGGGTTCGATTCCCGGCCGATGCATACGAACAACTTTTTTTTTTGTTAATGTAAAAAACAAAAATAAATTTTTTCATGCGTTAGTACTCGTACCGACTATTAATTTACTATTTTTTTTTATTTAAATTTAATTAATTCAAAAAGTTCCATTTAAAATTCATAAATAGTCTTTTTCAAGTAACTGTAATGGGGAGAGGAGGGGGAGGGGGAGGGGTCTAATAAGGTTTACAGTTATTTTTTTCTGATATAAATTTGACCTGTCAACTTGACGTATTCGTATATAAATATTCATATTCATGATAAAAATAAATTAATTTATTTTTTAATAACCGACCCAGACGAGTCTTCGATGGTACATTTAAATAATAACTACTTAAATTACTTGCCCTCGTAATTAACGATGATACAAATCATTATTTTGCAGACTTTAAGAGAAGAAAAAACAATATGGCGGGAATGGAATATGGCAATTTGATACCCAGACCCAAAACTTGTAACATATCAAATAGGGTGAAAAAAAAATATCTCACGTGCGGAAGAAAAATACGAGAAGAAGAATTAAAAATATATAATTTAAATTTATTAAATGCATATAAAATACCAAAACCGTTAAAAACTTTGGAAGATTGTAAAAATTATTGGAAAAAAGAAAAAATAGAAGAAGAAAATTTAATGAGAAGAAGGAAGAAAAAATTAAGACCATATTCGCACACGATAAATTCAAAAATAAATTACGATTGGAAATCAGAAAGACTTTTTGTACCTGAAACGGATGCTGCCCTACCAGGTACACACACTATCATTAGTATTAACGTTAATCACGATAAAAATAATTAATTTTTTTTTTTTTGTAGGAAAATCCGTTACCGATGATTTAGATCCGGATTTTTTTAAAATAGTTTCCGGTAGACCGATAAAAGAAAATTCGAAAAAAAATAAAAAAAAATATTTACAAGATTTGAGAGATTGTTTTTTAACAAAACTTAAAACCGGATATTGTTACGATGAAATTTATTTATTGGACGAATTATACAAGAGAGAAAAAAATATACAAGATGAAATAAATGAAAATTTAATAAAATTAAATCAAAATTTTGATGATTTTTTAAAAAATGATTACGTCACGAGTCAAAATTTATTAAAAAAATGTCAAAACGAAATGAAAATATCTGATGAAAAACTACAAACTTTAATTAAATATAAAAATATATATAAAGAATTAGAATCGGATTTGATTTTCCTAGACAAACAATGGAAAAAATATAAAATGTATCAGAAATTTTTATTTTTGATTTCACCAACGGAATGGAGGAAAGAAAATGATCCGAATTATGAAAATGAAAATCAAATCGGAAAAACCGTTTCCGATCCTTGTTTGTTTAACGCGTAATTTTCCCACATTTTTTTTTCTTCCTTTTTATTCTCATAACATTTTTTATTATTTAAAAAAAATTTTTTTGTTTTTTATTTAGATTTAGAGAAAATCCAGAAAATTTAAAAAATAACGATATAGATGAAAAAATTAAATCTCTAGCAGAAGAAATAAATAATTATCGGAGCCCGAAATTATATTTTACTCATCCCGAACAAATATTATCAATAATAACGAACATTGAAAAAAATAATTTAAAATTTTTAATACAAACAACGGAATTAGATTTTCCAGCTAATCGTGCATTAATGGGTGAGTTATTATTATTATCATCACTTTATTTGTTTACTCCCCCCCCCCAAAAAAAAAAAAAAAAAGAAAAAATGGAGAAAATTGTGGAATTTGAATGAAAATGACTTGAGATGACGATAAAATGGCGTTGAATTTTCTTTATTATTTAAATCGGATCCCCCCGGTGGTGGGGGAGGAGGGGGGTGGGGAGGAAGGAGGGGTCATAATAAATATCATTTTGTGATTTGAAATGATGTAAAAAAAAAAAAAAAAAAATTTAAATTCGAACGATCGACAAGAAAAAAAATCAGGTATAAAATTTATTTTAACGCTTAACACACACGCTCTCTTCGGTTCGGTTTATTTAATTATACCTTTTCCTACAACACAAGATATAATTTAATTAGGTTAATTAAGTAAACAACCACACAAACAAACAAACAAACCAAGTCGTCGTATTATTACCTTGAACAAGAAAAAAAAACAAAAAACATCCGACAACAACAACAACAACAACAAGAAAATCAAAAAGCGTGAAAGCGTCACAACAATTTGTTGTCACCCAATAAAAAAAACTTTTTAAAAAATTTTTTTTTTTTTAGAAGTTGAAAAAGCAAAAAATCGTTTGGATAAAAATCAAAAATATTTAGAAGATGAATTAAAATATATAAAAGAATTAATAAGGGAAGAAGAAGAAAATTACGAAAGAAAAGAAAAGAAAATAAAAGAAATAATTTATGGATTTTTTCGTAATCACATAATGAACGATGAATATTTAAATGTGTCTGCACTCGTTGAAGATGCTTACGAAGAAATTATTGGGTCGTCTGCTGCTGCTGCCACGAATACACAACATAATCCAAACCTTATAAAAATGTTAAAAGAAATAGAATTACATTACGAAAACGTGGTTTTAGAATTGGATTTCCAACCCAATGATATAATGATTGAAACGAGTAGAAAATTTTATAAAAAGCAAAAAAGTGAAATGGCAGAAGCAAAACATGCTGAAAAAGAGGTGAGTTTGGGAAAAAGTAACGTCGAAGACATTTGGGGAGGGGGGAAGAGGCAGGGAAAAGAGGGAGGCAAGAAAAGATTTAAATTTAACGGTTTTTTCGTTTATTTGTTTGTTTCAGGTGAAAAGAATGAATAGATTATTGAAAAAATTAAGTAATGCTTTGAGGAGTCAAAAGAAAAAAGTTTTAGAAAGGAAAATAGTGGGGAGATCGCAACCCCCCGAAGAAAAATTAAAAAAAATAAAATTACCAAAAATATTAACGAAAGAAGAAAGAGAAAATTTTTTCTTTTTTGGTAAACCTGAGAATTCGACAAAACTTCATCGTCCATTATGGGCGTGATGTGAATTTTTTTCATTTTTTTTTTTTAAAACTTATTATTTAATTAAAAAAAATAAAAAGTCACGTGACTATTTAATTTCATGGAGAAAGAAAGAATATGAACAAGAAAAAAAAAAATCGATCAATAAATTGATCGTGGTTCGTTATAAAAAAAAAAATGAAATCGGGACATTTAAATCACGTTTTTTCAATTTTTTTTCCCTCCATTTTTTTTTTTTTTCAATTGTTTTCCAAAATAATAGTGATAATAATAATAATAATAACAATTTTTTTTATTAATACATATCTTGGAAAGTATTATTATCGTTAACTTTTTCCTTTATTATTATTATTATTATTATTATTATCACCGTTCGTAAATTTTTTATTTTAACACTTCGTTAGCGTTATGATACAGTTAAATAAAAATTTATTTGTAATTTTGCTGTTATCATAACTTTCTCTCCTGCGCCATCATAAAAATAAAATAAAAATAGAAAAAAAAAATGGCGGATTAAAGTAATAAAATAGAATAAATTTTTTTATAATATTTTAAAATATTTAAAATCGATTTTAAACGGTAAAAAAAAAATAATAATAATAATAAAAATTATTCCATTGAAAAAAATTAATTATGCAATTTAAAATATTTAAATGTTGTACAAAAAGTATAACGTAATTTTTTGAAGGCGTTATTTTTTTTAAAAAAAGCAATAATTTAGTTTATTTTTAGATACATAATTTATGCATTAATTTTTATCATTATTCTTTTTTTTGTGTGTGCGTAGAATACAAAAATAAATTTCAATTTAAAATTATTATTATTAGTATTATTTAAATCGAATGGAAATATTATTGATTTTAATTTTAAAACGAAAATATAAAAATAATTTATTTTCCATCGATTTTTTCTTAAGGGGTAAAAAAATACACTCGTAAATCAACCTTTTGAATTTGTTTTAAGCGTGCAGTTATTTACAAAATGAAAATTTATTAAATATATAAATAAAATAAATAAAATCTAACATTTTTTTGCATTGGAACATTTTCCTTAAAGAAAAACAAAAACAAAACAAAAAAAAAATTAGAAAACATGTGAACAATTGTTAATTTTTTTTTTTTTTATATATATAATTAATGGGAAATAAATTTTAGGTGAGTTGTAATTAAAAAAAAAAAAAAAAAAGGCGGTCTCGAAACAAAAGAATTTTAAACGATTCATTTTTATATAATTATTTCACATATAACTAACAATTTAAAAATAAAAAAAAAATTATAGTGAAAGTTAAAAATTTTATAATTTCTCACACGGAAAATAAAAATAAAAAAATCTTGTAATTTTTTATTTTTTAAAGATCTAAATAATAATAATAATAATATTTCCAATCAATCAATAATTATTTAATGATACAAGAAATTTAAATAATAAATAAAAAGGAATCCATCTTTTTATTTATATTCTATTCAAATGAAAGAATGACTTTGGTTTTTTCTTTTTTTTTTAAATGCTGCATTTCATATTTGTGACTGACAAACGTATATACGATTAATTTAAAAATAAATCCCTCTCTCCTTCTCCTCCTCCCTCCCTCCCTCAGAACATCTGTCTAAATAATTATTTTTAATTTTTAATAAGTAAAAAGAAAAAAATAATTTAAATTAATCGTCATCTACGTATAATAATATAAAGTTTTTTTTCATATAAGTAACGTGTATTATTATATCATTCAAATGTACATATAAAAAAAAAAAAAAAAACGTAAAAATGTCGTATGATCATTATTATTCGAATACAAAAAAAAAAAAATAGAGCATAAAAATGTTTGATCTACTTTTTTTTTTTATCTAAACAATTTTTGATTTCACCTTGTGTGTATTTTTTTTTTTTTTTTTTTAATTTTTGGCACCATTTTTACAAAAATTGTTTTTTTATGTACCATAAAAATTTTTCCCCCCACAAAAATAATAATAATAATAATAATAATAATAAGAAAAGAAAGAATTAATTTAAATTCGACGATATAAGAAAAAAAAAACAGGTTTTTTAAAAAATCCTTTCACTTTGTCTCCCCCTTCCATTCTCTCCCCCCACCGTTCGGCGAGAAAAATAAATAATAATAATAAAAAATAATGGTTTCATACAACTCAAACCTCTCCCCCCCCCCCTTATATTAACCCTTAATCAGTCAACGTCACGAAAAAAAAAAAAAAAACAACAACAAAAGAAATTTAATTTGGTGAAATGTCTGTAGGCCATTTATTATAAGGTATTATGGAAGTAACAATGCAATTTCTCTTTGATTGTTTATAAACTCAATGCTGATTTAATGAGTGTAAAGAAAAGAAAAAAACATTTTTTATTCTCAACATTTTATTCTCGTCTTCTTCATCTACTGCATCATTTGAAAATTGTGTTTCCAAAGGAATAACTTGAATTATTTTTATTTTTTATCATTATAAAAAAAAAAAAATGTTAATAAAGTTTATACTAGCAGTGATTTTAATAAATATACAACTGTCAAATGCAATAGTGACAAATAAATCAGGAGATTTTATTGATTTTATACTTACACAACAATCCGGTAAGTTATTATTATTATTATTATTAAGTTTTGTTAAACTTTTAAAAATGATTTGAAACTTTGTTCGAACCGATAACTAAATCAAGTGCAAACAATTCAAAAAAAAAAAAAAAATTCAATTACATTTGTGGTCATTTAAAGATGTCGGGGTAGTTTTTGTTGGAAAAAATTTTTTTTTTACATTGCAGATCATGTAAATTCTCAGTATGTTGACGATGCCAGCAACCTTTGTACCACACGTCTTCACGGAAGTCTAGAAAAATTAAGAAAACGACAGGCAAATATAAAATCAACGGCTTTTATTGATCTGACCGGATATGCTTTGCATCAAACACTAAGAAATTTACCGCTCGACATGTACGTAACGGATATTAAAGTTCGAACTCCGAGAGTCGGAGATTGGGTTCGTATTGAAAAATGTCAATTTTCAAATCGCGATAATAAAATGACGGCAAAAATACTTTTTAACGATTTAACCGTTTCCGGAACGGTACAATTGCTCGACGATACTCAAACTCTAAAAAGTTCTCTTCATTCTATTCCGAGAGAATTTTGTAAAATGTCATTGAGATTACAAAGAGCTGGTTTGGGTATAAATGCTTTTCCGACGAAGGCAAGAAGTCGAAGGTTGGATGTTAGAACGGAAGCAAGATTTTTAGATCCGAAATTTTTAAGCGTCCACGCATACGGATGTAAATTAAATGATATATTTAAAAAAAGGGAGGATTCTTATGGGGAAGAAGTACAAGACGGGTCTGTGTTAAATGAAGAAGAAGAAATTATGCCGGATGATAAATACAGAGAACCTAAAAGAGAAAGAAAAAATTTTATGAAATATAATTTTACTAGGGGCGGTTACGAAAAAGATATGTCTTCTTACGTTAAAATTGAAAATCTTGCAAGAAGTTTACCACCGATGGATGAACAAACTGTATCTCGAGTACCTGAAAATTTTGCAAGGAGTTTACCACCGATGGATGAAGATGAAACGGAACCGCAAGTGAGAATAATAACATTAAATCCAGATTTAAGAACAAATGATGACACGAAATGGTTTAGCCTACACGAAGAACAAGAAACGGATTTAAATGATTTTCACAGGCAAAGACTCATAGGAAGTGGTCGACATAGAATGTCGGAAAGAGACAAATTAAAAGCTGTTTTGCACGTGCAAAATTTAATAGCACAACAAGCAAATCACGTATTTCAAACTCAAGGACCTTTCTCGCAAAATCAAAAACCACCGTTTAAACCTTTCAAACAATTTAACGGAAAACCTCTGAGAGGTCCATCGGTGGTGTCGACCATAACAGAATTAGATGAAAATTTATCACCCATTCGTCCGATTCCTCAAAGGCCATTCGATACGTTTTTTGCACAAAGTGGACAAATAATAACACAACCCAATCCTCCAGATTATCAAAATTATTACGAAGTTATATCGAGAGAAATGGAAGACATATTTTTAAGAGGAATAAAAACATTATTAACGCGTTATGTTGAAAAACAACTTGAAATACCTTTAAAAGAAGCTTTGATGGTCAACATTGGTTATACAGTTTCCTACGGTTAAACATTTTCCATTCATAACAAACACAAACACAAACATTTTAATTACAATTTTTACAAATTTTTTAATTTATTTATAATAATTAAAAAATCATTAAAATAAAAATTTATTTAAAAAAAAAAAAAAAAAAAAAAAAACATAGGTACGATTTTCTTCTTGCAAACCTAGTAATAATAATAATAATAATAATAATCATTTATAAATTTCAATTTATAAATAACAAAAAAAAAAAAAAAAAAAAACATTTTAACAAACAAAATAACCCGGCTTCATTTTTTTAATAATTAAATAATTAATTAATTGGGATCCACAACATATAATATTATAATATATATATTAAATTATAATATATAAAATTAAAATAATAAATATATAAATTAATCAAAAAGAGATTTCAATTAAAAAATAAAAATAAATAAATTACAATAAAAAAAAAAATTATTTTGTGGCCCATTTAAATATATATATATATATATTAATAACTTTTAATAAAAATATTAATAACGGTAACAATATTATTAAAATTTATTATTATATAGATAGAATTGGCAGTAAAAATTATTATTATTATTATTTTAAAAACAACGTATACATTTGTGTACGTTTAACAAATCAATTTTATAAATAAATATGTACATAAACACATACATATCGTTTAAAAAAAAAAAATTTTTTTTTTTTTTGTTGTCCTGCGAAACAAATAATACAATAATTATTTTATGTATTCTATTAAATGATCTTAATATTATTTATTGCAATTATTCCATGAAAATATACATTTCCCTTATTATCATTATCATGATAATAATAATAAATAAATACTTTGAATAAGTTACAATAAAAAATTTAATATCAATCGTAATGTTTTTAAAATAATATCAAAAAAAAAAAAAAATTACAATCAATCATTTTTTCTTAAAAAACTAAAATTTAACTCGGTTTTACATCAGGGTAATAAATAATAATAATAAATTAATAAAAAACATTTCAAGAATTTACAATTCCATTTGGAGGTGGTGAAAAACCATATTAATTAAATCGACAAAAGAAAAAAAAAAGAAAAATTTTTTTTGGCAATATTTTCCTAGAAGAATACTGCAAATTTTATATATAAAAAAAATTATTACGTCATTATATAATTTGTAAACTGTTAATTTTTATAAAAAATTATTTTGTCTGCAATTGTGTGTTGTTTTATTAACAATTTTTTTTTTTCGTTTCAAGTCTTAAAAAATATTCATAATCAACTTTGCATTTTGTACATTTTATTACAAACGACTATAATATCTATTTACAATTCAAAACTAATTACTTATTGCATTTTGTAGCAATTAACTAACAAAGAGTTTATTAAAATAACTCTTTATAAAAAAAATATATTAAATATCTATTTATTAAAAAATACTACCTTTTTGCATAAATCATCAACTCGCAAGCATACTCATATGTTGTAAAATAAATTACAGTTGAAGCTCCAGCCTTCATGAGAGATGGAAATAATCCCTTGAAAAGACCGAAAAAACCTTCTTTTTTTATAGTTAACATAAAGCATTGTATCACACTAGAACATTTGATTATTTCCTTATAGCAACCCTTATTCCTATCAAAACCCTGAATTTGCAATCTTTTTTTTGTTAAATCAAGAGGATACACAACGGTTTTTGCACAAATCCCTGCTAAAAAATTTGTTATTACAATTCCGCTGGCTGATATTGAAGATGTCTGTTTTGAATTTAATTTTCCAATCGACCACAACCAAATTTCCCTGAACATTTCTTTAAAGCTAAATACTAGCCCTGACATAGGAGCAGTTTGATAAATTGCAGCAGTCATTCCTTTTTTATAACCTGATAATCCTTCTTTTTGATAGATTTTAAGCGCTGCATCCATCACACCTTTGTACAACTGAAAAAAAGTACTTTTGGTGAATTTAAAAAATATTTAAAGAATTTCAAATCCTTATCGATTAAACGACATTGAACAAAATCAAATATTTACTGTGGTAATAGTGTTTGCATCTTACTTTTGGTTCACCTTGGAAGACTAGATGAGTTCTGATTACATCAAATGGGAAAGAAACTACTGTAGCTAAAACTCCAGCAACACAACCACAACCACAATGGAGTATATGATTTGCTAAAGGGGATTTATTATTCCATGCTTTAGATGAAAAATCATATAAAAGTTCATAACTTGAAAATTGAACAGCACCGAATACCATTGATAATAATTGAGCTGCATTATGACCTTTCCACAGGGAACTTAATCCTTCTTCGGCAGTCATTATTTTTACAGTTTGAAGAATCGATTTATATTTTGCTGAATTTTTTATTTTCACCGGAGTAGTTTGAAGCTGAAACAAATAAATTATATTAAACTTAATAAATTAATACATTAAAATTTTACAAATACATATTCAATCAATATTTTTTTTTTTTTTTTTTTGGAACTATAATTTAAAAAATTTCACTTAAAAAAAATTTAAAAAAAAAAAAAAATTATTCTAACCTGAAATCTAATTTTTAATACATCTAAAGGTTGACATAAAAATCTGGTCACAATTCCACTAGAAGCTCCTGCCAAACCAAATTCCCATCCTGTTAACGTGAATTTATCATTTTGTGAATTTTTACCATTATGCATTTTTTTTTTTACCCCGTTTTCACGCCGCTAATCAAGGTACCTCTAACCTAATTTTAAAAATGTAAATACTGATATTAGATCGTGGTAATAGAATAATAGTAAAACTTTTACAAACCGCCAATTTCTGAAAAAAAATTTTCATCATTATTATTATTAACTTTTTTTTTCTCATTTTTGATAAATTATTTTACATTAAATAAATTTTTTTAATAATTTACAATATTTTTAATGTAACAAAATACAATATAAATATAAAACTTTATAATAATTATAAAATATTTATTAATGTAAACATTTTTTTTCCACTTTTTGTGTTTAATGCAAGTTAACACAAACCATCACTAATCTTTTAAGAAAAATTAATTTACAATTTATTTACAATAAATAATAAATTAATAATTTTATTTAAGAATAAAAGTCATTTAAAGCATTCATTTCTTGCTAATTTAAAGAAAAAAAAAACATTTTATTGAGTTAACTCTTATGGACTGAAATTTATCAGACATTCAAATAGAGAAAAATTTTCATTTTAATAAATAATAAATTTTTTATATTTAAAACATTTCCAACAGTTAAATTTAAATTTAAAACTATTAAAACAAAAAATTATATTAATAAATAAAGAATTTCACTTAATAAAATAAAATAATTTTGAATATTTAACTTTTATCAAAATGACTTAAAATATTTTCCTGTTTGTAAATGGGGGGACACTAAATATAAGATTGAGAAAGTCAAAATCAGATTTATGATAATTAATTAAATACTATCAGGGTATCATAAGGTATGGGTTTGATTTTAAAGTTTTCTTATTAAAATTTTTTTTTTTTTTCAAAACGTGAAAATTTTTTGCAAAAAAATATTTCGGGAGTATTGCCAATAAATAAAAAAATGAATCTACTTTTGCCCCCCACTGTCTCTCTTGTTTTTTTTTATATTGCGACAACATAACAATGAACTCACCGTAAAGAGGACACTGAACCTATCACGGAAAACCTGATTCATGTTTTTTTTTTTTTTTTTTTTTTCGTACCTGATTTTTTTTTCTTTAAGATCTGTTTGGGCAGTTTGATTTTGGGTTTGCTCAGGTTCGGGTTGACAAAAGGCCGTTGTGTCCCAGTTTTTCAAAAAAAAAATTTTTTTTTTTTTTTAAACATCACAAAAAGTTTTTTTTTTTTTTTTTTTTAAAAACCTAGAATTATTCGGTTCGTTATTAAATTTTTAATTTTATTTATTTATTTAATATGTAGAAACTCTTAAAATAACTTTTTTTTATTATCCAACAGCAATAACAAACAACAGAAACATAAACTTTTTATTTTATTAATATTAATTTATAATTGGATTTTTAAATTCAAAAAATTATTTTTATTCATTTAAAAAAAAAATTCTTAATCTAATTAATCTAATCTGTTCTTAATCCTTTTCTATTAAACCTTAAACAGTCAGTTTTAATAAATAGTTAATAAATAATAATCAGAGATACATTGCAAAAAAAAACCGCCATGTTTAAATTTAAAATCAAGCATTTTTAACTTAATTATCATTATCAATTTGATAACAAACAGTTCATTAACTTTTAAAACATTAAAATTATTATTTTTAATCATTTATAATTACACAATAATTATATTAATATTAAATATAATTAAATTAAAAATGAATGTTGTGAGAAAAAAACAACAAAATTTTCATATACAAATATTTTTCTAAACAATTCAAATTGATTTTATTTATTAATTAAGAGTACACTTGTTTGAGTTAAATTTAAAATAAAAAAAAATTAATTTCATTAATAACAATAATAATAATAATGATATTCATATGAATAATAAAATAAAAGCTTATGAGTGTTGTTTGATATTGAATAAATTATGTAGGCGAATTCTCCTTGTTGGAGTTATGAAGTATTTAACGGTTCTCAATTGAATGTGATTTAAATTTTAAATTTTATTATTATTATTATTATTATTATTATTGTTTTTTTTATAAATAGTTTTAAATTATTCTTATATTATTTATATACATACATACGTGACAGGTAGTTAACGTGTTCATTTATCATTTTTATGTAACAATAATGATATTAGCAATGTCATTACATAAAACCATTTATTTTGGATTACAACAAAAAAATTTATATATATGTATTATTATAATAAAGTTCAAAAACCTTAAACAAAAAAAACAATAATTAATTAATTATTAATTTTATTATTTAAAAGAGAGAGAGAGAGAAAGAAAATTTAAAAAAAAATAGTTTTCTTTTGATTCATGAACTTTACGTTTTGATTTTGTACCAACAGGTATAAAAATTAAATTTTTTTTTATTTAAGGTGATCATTGCTAGAAAATTTTAATTTATTTATATTTTTTACCTTCCCCCTCCCCCCCCTCTCTCTCACACAAAAAAAAACAAGGTGTTAATAAAAAACGAAAATTTTTTTTTTTTTTTTTTGGATTATTTTGTTGTTTACGATCAAAGGTTTTGATTAGTTAAAATTAGCAGAAAAAAAGTAATAAAAATAATTTAATAATTTTTACTTTAACCCCATACAAACGTACCTAATAATAATAATAATAATTTAAATTTGAAATGATCGTTTTTGGCTTGGTTCAAAGGGGAATAATAATAGTAATTATAACGATTAATAATTTTTTTTTTTTTAAAAGTAAATCGTTACTTACAAAATTTTAATTTTATTAAAAAAAAAAAAAAAAAAGTTCAGAATCTGAACGAAAGTTCAAACAAAAGTTCAGAATTATTCTTTTAATTTAATTTTCACAAAAATCCTTTTGAATACTTTCCCCCCTCCCCCATCATCTGTTTTAATTTAAATTTTAATCTGCCATCTTATTTTTTAAAATTTAAATAAAATTTATTCGTTTGTTTATTAAAAATCATGTAACGACTTTTATCATTATTAATTTTAACAACATGTAAAACATAAATAATTTGTTTCTATCTCTCTCTCTCTCTCTCTCTCTCTTTCTTTCTCTTTCTTTTTGAAAATTAATTCTTTAAGTGTTGTTTTATACAAGATTTTTAATTATTTCCAACAATTTTTTTTTCAAACGAAAATTTAATCACAAATTTAAATACCATTCGATTAAAACTTAATAACAATAATAATAATAATAATAATAATAATAATAATAATAATAATAATAATAATAATAATAATTGGAAAACCTTTTATTTATCCAAAAAAAAAGGAAACTTGAATTATATTGATGACGTAAAACAAAACAAGTTATTTAGTTTAATAAAATATTTACGTATAACATTTTTTTTCTTTTTCTTTTGTCTTTTTGTTATTAAAATAATATTATTAATTAAACAATTATTTTTTGTTAAATACATAAATCAATTTAAAAAAAAAAAAAAAAATTGACATTTAATTTTCAAACGAGTTTTCTTTTTAATAAATAAGTCACGATGCGCTAAACAAATTATTTATTACCTTATATATTTATTTAAGTTTAAATTCCATAAGAAAAAAAAAATTAGAGTCGGGCAATCGTAGAATTTATTGGTAATAATAATAATAATAATAATAATAATAATAATAATATAAAATCTCTTATCAATAATGATAAAAAAAAAAAAATTATTATAAATTAAACTGGTTTAACCGATTAAATTTGTTTTAAGACGAATCTAATTCGAGCTTGTAAAAAAAAAATTTTTTTTGCAATTTTTCGTTAAAATAATAATAATAATAATAATAATAATAATAATAATAATAATAATAATAATAATAATAATAATAATAATAATAATAATAATAATAATAAAGTGAATATATAAATTGGAGGCGTTAAACTGGTTTTAGGTAGTATTTTCAAGTGTCAAATAACAATTTCATCCTCAAGACAAAAAATATTTACCCGTGATAAAAATTCAGGCAGGCATTGACCGGAAATATAAACAGAAAGTATACCTGAAAGTATAAAAAAAAAAAAAAAGATTTTAAATTCCCTTTAGGTTATTGATTATTTATTATTATTATTTTTTTTAGAAAAAAAAAAAAAAAAACGTTCAATGAAGAAATAGTTTTAATAAATAAATAAATTGTGAAAATGATAACTTTGAAATATATACTTTTAATTATTATTATTATTTATATGGAACCGAGTCGTACGGTGTTACACAGGAAATATTACAGACTTAGAAATTTTTCCAAAATGAAATTGTTACCAAAAATACCGAGTGCCGTTCATCCTCCAGTTCCAGACGATGTTCGATTAACTTTTGACGAAATTGATGATTTACAAGAAGGAGCACAAGATCCAGAAACGAGAGCTGGATTATTTCAGGGTGATATGGCATTAACGAATGAAGTAAGTTCCCCCCCTCCGGCCATTTTTTCCTTTAAATGAATAGTTTTCCGACTTGGATGATTTTAAACCCTAAAGCAATAAATATATAAAAAAATTTTATATTAAAATTTAATATGCAAAAGATAATAATAATAATAATAATAATAACAGTGTTATTATCTCTGATTTTTTTTTTTTTTTTAGTTTTATGATTACTGGAGAGTAGGATTACGTTGGGATGTTTTTCCAGAAAAACTTTGGCCAAATAATACAGTACCTTACGTTATAAGTCCGTTGTACGGTAAGTATTATTATTATTATTATTATTATTATTTCCCCCCAGAAAACTAATAACATTAATTATTAAATAAATAATAATAATACTAACAGACGACGTATTATTATCGCAATCGATTTAAGATAATTTTTAAAAAATAGGAGGGGAAAATATTTTCAAGAATATTTTAATAATTTAATCGAACGATTAATAATAATAATAATAATTTAAAATTTAAACGTTTTAGAATCTTGTAAATATTTAATTTTGTAATTTTTATAATCGTTATTTTTTATTCGCGAAAAACAAAAAATTATATATTTTTCCGTTAAAAGATTCCTTTTTTTTTTTTTTTATTTACGTCACAGGCTACATAAAATTACGGGTTTTAATAAATAAAAAATAAAAAAATAAAATTTTATTCGGATTCGTGTGTGTAGTCAATAATTAACAAGATTATTTATATTTAAAAAAAATTTAAAATAACCGTTGAAACTTGTATTTAAATTTAAATACGAATTATGTATACATAACTAAAATCCTTTGTAAATACTTATGTACATATATATTTAAAAAAGAAGAAGGTGTCGAGTATTATGTTATTACCATTTTTTTATTATTTATTCGAAATCGATTTCCCCCGCACTCCCCCCTCCCCCCTCGTTGTTGTTTCCTCGTGTAAATTTTTTTTTTTTTCTTTTAGGGCATTCGTGTTAGAAAATTTTTTTTTATTAATGACAAAATAATCATTTACTCTTTATTTTTTTTTGTAAAAGTTGTTATTACTCACATTTAATTCTTTTTAAACATTTATGACGTATTTTTTTAAACAAAAAAATTTAAAAAAAAAAAAGTAACGTCGACAACAAAAACCGTTAAAAGAGAGAAAAATACGAGTGGGAGTTCATTGATTACTCCTTTTTTTTTTTTTTTTTTATCACGTTTTCACAAAAATTCGATATGAAATTATTTATTATTTATTTCAATATCATTATTATTATTATTATTTACGTAAAAATATTTCATCGTCGTTATTGAGATGTTAATAAAAAAAAAAAAAAAAATTTAATACGTTTTAATATATCCAATATTTTTCTTATTTGATGCGAACAATAACCTTTTTATCACATTAAATAACACAAAAAAAAATTGTTTCGAAACTTTAACGCTCTTGTTTTAAAACAAAAATGAAAGAAATTTTAAATTTAAATTTTTATTATTTAGATGTGGATGACTACGTAACCATATACACGGCAATAAGAACGATCAATTACATGACTTGTATTAAATTTGTACCATGGAATGGAAAAATAAAAGATTTTCTTTTAATTTGGCCGATAAAATATCCAAAAGGTTGTTGGTCATTCGTTGGAAAATTTGGGGGACCGCAAATTGTTTCACTTCAACCCCCCGATGAAAATGGTCCCAATTGTTTGGGAACAGAAGGAAGATCCATACACGAATTATTACATGCTTTAGGTATTTAATTTTTTTTTTTTGAAATTTAAAAAAATTTTTTTTATAATGAAAATTTATTTTCAGGGATTTTTCACGAGCAATCGAGATCTGATAGAGATCGTTTTGTTAAAATACATTTCGATAATATATTACCGGATTTGGCGGTAAATTTCGATAAACAAAGTTTGGAAAATACAACGTATAATTTTGAATACGATTACGATAGTATAATGCATTACGGAAAATATTTTTTTAGGTAAAAAAAAAAAAAAAAAAAGAAAAAGGTAATTGTGTGTATAAAATAAAATAAAATTTAAATTTTGTTTTTTTTTTGTTTGCAGTAAAGAAAAAGGAAAACCTACCATAACTCCTAAAATGCCTGGAGTTAAAAAATTGGGTCAAAGAAAAGCCATGAGTAAAACTGACTGTTTAAAAATAAATGATTTATATGGATGTCTCACTAAAAATATTTATTATCAAAGAAAATATTATCGAATTTGTCAAAATTTAGGTCTTTGAATATTTTTCTAACCCCGTCAAATTAATTTTCATAATTTTTGTCAAAATAAAATTTTAAAAGAAAATTTTTTGTTTTGATTTTAATATTATTTAATAAAATTTTTTTTAAAAGTTTTTTCATCATTATTAACTTTCTTTAAAATTTTTTTTTATTCTTTTTGACCAACTTTTTCCGCTTGTTTCATTCTTATACTGTTTTCATATACTTTCACGCGACGATAAAATAAAAAAAAAATTATCTTTCGAAATTAAATATAATAATAATAATAATAATAATCAATTATTCTTAAAGTTTTTCCATTACGTCTTCGTATCTTTTGTTTATATCATCTTTTTCGTCTTTTTCCTCTTTATCCTCTTTATCCTCTATTTCCTCTTCTTCTGTGAAAATTTCAAGCTCTTCAGATTCTTTAAAGTTATCATTATCTGCCGTTATGAGAGTTTTGGGCTTTGTATCGCTCAAAATATTACGAGGTACAAAATCTGATGACAAAGGCCAAATAGATTCGGAATATGATGTGTAATCGGGAACCGATCCGTACATTTCAATGTATTCTTTTAAATCTACCAGTACTGGACAGTCTAATAAAAAGTCTAAAAGATTGAATTCTGGTAAATTACTTCGACATAATTCCGATATGTTATCCAAAGCAATTTTAAAATGATTCTATATGGAAAAAAAGGTAATAATAAGTAATTTTGATTTTAAATAAAAAAAAAAAGAAAAATGTCACTTACAGTTGTTTGATTTCTTAAATATTCTGACATTCTGTATAATTTCATAATACAATTTTGAATATGACGAAATTTTGTTTCATCGCTAATTGTTTGTTCTATTTTTTCCAAAAGTACTGGTGGAGTTGCTGTACGTCCATTCCACGTCGTGTAATATCTCTGAAAAAAAAAAAAAAAAACAAAAAAATCAATTAATGGAGCATAATTAAGAGAAATGTATATAATTAACAATATTTATGTAAAAAATTCTTATTAGGGTAAACCTTATTGATATGATGACAAATAATTAAAACTTTCATTCTTGTGACTTCCGGTGTTTTTTTTGCAGGATGTTCCAATGTACTGACTAAAGATTTTAAATGTTTCATTATGGTTTCTTCTGGACCCTGAAAAAAAATAAATTGTTAATGTAATAAAGAAATATTAATTAAATATTAATAAAAAAACAATTACTTCAACAATATTAATGAAATATCCAGTGTAAAATAATCCAAATCCCGTTAAAAAATCTTCACAATAATCTTCGTTAATTAATTTAATATTCGTGTCTACTGTTATATTAAAAACTCGGCTATCTTGAATTTGATCGTTATTTCTATCTTGAACATAACTTGCTATGTAAATAATTCTATGCAAATAAACTCTCTGTTTAAAATAAATATTGAAATTAATATGTATTTACATAACGAAAGTACATTTGTTTTTTTTTTTTTTTATTTTCAAATTTTTTTATTTAGAAAAATTTTTTTACTTTACCTTTTGCACCAGTTTTAACGTTTTTTGTAAAACAGTCAATAAATTATTACGTAAATTTTCTGGTACCGCCATTTTGTCCGTAGTTTTATTGACAAAACTAAATAAAATTGAGTAGTTATTGATAAACGGAAATAGTAGGAGGGGTAGTAAAAATAACTTTTTTATTTAAATGATAAAATAAATTAATAATATTTTAATTCGTTTATAATTTATATTTTGACTTTAAACTATTAACTGTTGTTTTTTTTATTTTTGGTTTGGGAATAAAGGGAAAATTTAAATAATTAAATAATTTAAAAAATTAACGGAAAAATTAAAAATTCATTTTGAAAAAAAAAAAAAAAAAACCGCTTTATTGAGTAATTCTGTTTCCGGTTTTGGAAATTCGTCTGCTCCCGGCATTTATTTAAGCAAATTACTTTTCATTTAACATTTTTTTTTGATTAATTTCAGCCATTCTTTGCCCTTCATTTTGTCATAATGTTTATTTTTATTTAGTTTATGTACAATTAAATATTATTTTTGTATAAAATTAAATCACAGTTTTATTTTATTTCAAATTATTTTTCTTTTTTTACCTTTATTTATTTAAGAAAAAAACTCAGTTATGTAAGTACGAATATTTTTTAATGCAATTGATTTACTGTTTTTTTTTAATTTAATCCTTTTAGTAATTTTCAAAAATATTTTGGGGGACTAATTTTTTTTTTTTAAATGTAATTTTATTAAGATGTTTTTTTTTTAATAATGTTCAACTTGGTTTTTATTTGTAATCAATGAACAATTTTATTTTATAAAATTACTTATTTTCTCTAGTTTTTTTTTTTAATAATCAATTAATTTTCATTAGCAATTTTATGTCATTGTAAATTTTAATAAAACTATTTTTACCACCCAATTCAGTTTTAAATTAATTAGTTCAAAAATGCTGTAATTTAAATTTTTTAAAATGATGAAAAATATTTTAAATGTCTTACCTTTTTTCAACTGCACTGCATTTTAATCATTAGTGATAGTACAAATATACAAAAGATTTATAAAATTTACTAAAATATTTGAAAATTATTACAATCACATACAAGAAGCTGTTTTAATTAACAATTAAAACAATTGAGAATCAAATTATTAATTTATATTATTATTGATGAAAATATTGAGTGAATGTATTTGTTAATAATTGTTAAAAATCTTCTGTATAATTATTTAATTTTTAAAAAATAATATTTCTTATTAAAGCAAAAACCTTTGCCTTGTGAATTATTGTTTGACAATGCCCTTTCCTGATTTTTTAAAATTAAATCGAAAACTTTTTCGATTTAGGTTTAAGTCAAGAGAACAAAGCAGAGGAGTTATACGAAGAGGTGGAGGAAGAAGACCTTTAAATAGATTTGACAGAGGATTTAGAAATGATAAGTTAAAAAAAAATCATTTTCAATGTAAACATAATTTTAAAAATAATATTAATAATGAAACTTACAATTCTGAAAAATTACCCAAACCAAAATGGAATTTATCTAATCTTCAACCCTTTAAAAAGAACTTTTATACACCTCACAGAGATATATCTAATAGATCGAATAATGAAATTAATCAATATAGAAATGATATGGCAATGACTATAATAGGAAAAGACATACCTTACCCTATAACAAGGTTTCAAGAAGCTAATTTTCCAGACTACATAATGAATGTTATCAGGTGAATAAAGAAATTTTTGCTTTTTTTTAAAAGTAATTTAACTTATTAATTTTATAATAAAAACAAATTTTAAATATATAATTAAACAAACAAATTACAGGAAACAAGGATTTACAGTACCAACTCCTATTCAAGCTCAAGGATGGCCCATTGCCTTAAGTGGAAAAGATATTGTTGGCATTGCTAAAACCGGATCAGGGAAGACAATTGCGGTTTGTGGATTTTTCTATATAATGTAGAATTTTGTTTGGCCCTCATCTGCGATTAAAAAAAAGGCTACTCTTGCAAAGAAGTTACACTTGGTTTTATTTCCCCTTAGTATATGCTACCAGCTATAGTTCATATTCATAATCAACCTCCATTAGAACTAAACGATGGTCCCATAGCCCTAATATTGGCTCCAACTCGAGAATTGGCTCAGCAAATTCAATCAGTGGCCAATGATTTTGGTGAAGCCACCAGAATTCGTAATAGTTGCATATTTGGTGGAGCTCCTAAAGGTAAAATATAATGAAATTTTATTTTTTTAAAAAGAGTTTCATTTTTGCATGACAAAGTTTTTGTTTAGGCCCTCAGTTTCGAGATTTAGAAAGTGGAGTGGAAATCGTTATAGCTACACCTGGAAGATTAATTGATTTTTTAGAAAAGGGAACTACTAATTTAAGGCGATGTACATATCTTGTGTTGGATGAAGCTGATAGAATGTTGGATATGGGTTTTGAGCCACAAATTCGTAAAATTGTGGAACAAATAAGGGTAAAAAAAGAGAATATATATTTTTTAACTATTATTCGTAGTACTGATTGTTTAAAAACAATTACAGCCTGATCGACAAGTTTTAATGTGGTCAGCTACTTGGCCTAAAGAAGTTAGAGCACTCGCAGAAGATTATTTAACTGATTATATTCAGCTAAACATAGGATCTCTTCAGTTATCTGCAAACCATAATATTTTACAAATTGTTGACGTTTGTCAAGAACATGAAAAAGAAAACAAGTATGGTTTTTTTTTCCCTAAGAAAAATACAATTATAATATAACAAAAGTTAGTGAAGTTTCTCCCTTAAAAAAAAAAAAAAAAAAAAAAAAAATTTACCTTTTGTTTTTTCAAGGTTGCGTCAGCTTCTTCACGAAATAGGATCTGAAAAAGAAAATAAAACAATTATATTTGTAGAAACAAAAAGAAAAGTCGATAATATAACTCAAATATTAAGAAAAGATGGATGGCCGGCTTTAAGTATTCACGGTGATAAAAATCAACAAGAGAGGGACCACGTATTAACTCGTGAGTCGAAAACAAATAAATAAATTTTAATTTTATTTTTAAAACAATTAATTATCATCTCAATTATTTTGTAGAATTTAGAAATGGAAGAGCTTCCATATTGGTTGCGACCGATGTTGCAGCAAGAGGATTGGGTATGATAATCATTATCATGAACTTTTGTTATTATTTTAAAACGATGACGTTTGATTTAGAAAAAAAATTTTTAGATGTCGAAGACGTCAAGTTTGTTATTATATTCGATTACCCATCTTCTCTTGAAGATTATATACATAGAATAGGACGAACGGGACGTTCGGAACAAACCGGGACCGCCTACGCATTTTTTACTCCCCATAACGTAAAACACGCAAATGCTTTAATTAACGTTTTAGAAGAAGCTGATCAAATAGTCAATCCGAAATTAGTCGAAATGGCTAAAATTGGACAAGGAGGTTATACCTCATCTTCTCTCTCTCTCTTTTTATTTAAACGAAACACTTGTTCGAAAAATTTATAATTTTTTCAGGGTCCAATAAATCGAAATTTTGCAGTAAATCTTTACCGAAACCTTTACCCGGTCACGAAGGTTCTGCTGGTTTCCAATCTGGAATTGGAAGGTCAGTCCCGAGGACAACAAATCGAGGATTAACAACAAATTCCGTTGGTCGAACTCTAATGGCGGATAACAATCACGGTCACATAAAAAATTTAAAAAGTATAATAAATAGTAGTAAAAATCGATTGGGCGGTGGACGGGGAGGAGGATCCAATTCGAGAAATTTGATTCGAAATACTTTGAGAATGAACGGCATGAAAAGAAGTAATAAAACTAAAGGTAAAATAATAATAATAATAAATAACGAAAAGCGTTGGAGGCATTTTTGATTTATTAAAAAATTTTCATACGTTTCAGGTTGTAATAATTACGAAAACGATATTCGATCCTCAGGTTCGAACATACACAATTTGATGTCACCATCATCTCATTTCGTATTCGAATCTCATGGAAATTATTATAATAATTATCAAACCAATCAAGGATATTGCAGCGGAGGAGGAGGAGGACAGCAAAACAGCGGAAGACAAAATTACGGTTATTCAACGACGGTTAACACTTATTAATTTTTTTTTTTTTTTGGTTATCGGCCATCAACAATTGGAAACATAAAAAAAATTTCTTTTTAGCTCGTGTGATCTCAGTTTATTTTTTTATTTATATCGAACAATTGTATTAATTTTATCGTTTAAGTTACTTATTGTGTTTAAATAATTTAATTAGTTGTTAATTTTTTTTTTGGTTGCCTATTCGAGAAGGCGGTGTTTCAAGACTGAATGCGTAATAATAATAATAACCCACCCGAAAGCTTTAATTTGAATTGTTACCTTTTATTTATATTGTTTAGTGATTTGATAATAAAATATAAATAATTGTTGTTTTATTTTTTTTTCTTTTCAAATATTGTGATAATATTATTATAATTTGAAAAATAAAAAATAAAATAAAAAATTTATTTTTGTTTTTAAATAAAATGTTTAAATTTTTTTTTTTTTAATGTCATCTCATCGGATACATTTAAATTAAATTAAATTTTTTTTTAATTAAAAAAAAAAAACGAAAGAAAACAAAAGAAAACAGAAAACGATTATAAAAATTTGTCATTTTTTTTTTTTAAAAAGATAAATTTTTAATTGTTTTTTTTTTTCTTAAACTGATACTTCTTCTTAAAATAAAAAAAAAATTATTATTATTTTTCTTTCTCGCGCACTTTTCAATAATGAGTTTTTTTTTCACACTGTTTTTCTTTTTTTTTTTTTTAAATCTATGCAAAACACCCGACCGATAATAATAATAATAATAATATTTACAATTCTATAAGGTCAATATCATTGTCATCCCGAAATGGTTCATCTTCTTCCACGGATTTTCCCTTTTTCTTCGGGGGAGGAGTTTTTGTTGTTTTTAAACTTTTTTCATCCAATTTTCTTTTCTTACCCGATGAACTGAAATCGTTTTTGACTATTATGAGATCATCATCCGTATTTAAATTGTTTGAAAAAAAAAAAAAAAAAAAAATTACGCATGTTACGAATAAAAAAAAAAAAAAAAAAAAAAAAAAAATTTAATAAAGTGCAACTTTACTCACCATTATTGGATTTTTCTTCCTTTTCTTTTTCTTCTTTTGGTTTTAACTGAGAAGGATCTGCAATAATTTTAAAATCTGGTTCATCTTTAGGTGCTTCGTAATGATTAACGTAAACGGTCAATTCGTAATTTTGTAGAAAATCATCGACTTTAAGTAAACAACCATCTTTGATTCCCAATTCCTAAAAAAAAATAAAATTCACGTTTAAACAAAAATTTATGAAATTAACACAAGAGATTAAATAATAATAAAAAAATAAAAAAAACTTACACTTAATACTTTTTCATCACATTTTTCAATCTCATCTTCTTCGCTAGAAATAACAACCATTCCTGTTGAATCTAAAATTACATCGGGAGCAGCCATGTTTAGAGCTTTTTTCAAAACTGCTTCCTCCAACTCTTTAACTGTCATTTTATTAACATTTGCCAACAGCGTGACCTCCGGTTTTTCTGAACAAATGTAACAGTTTTTTTTCGGAGGTATCAAGTATTTTTCGGGCACAAGTATTTGTTTTCTGTGATTAGGTTTTAGCCTTAAATACACGGTTTGACATTTAGATAACTGATTTTGAAGAACTCTGAAAGCTTGCAAAACGACGACTCCAGCAATAATTGCATTGGTGGTAGCTATAGCTGGTATTATGTTTCCCGCCATTGCTAAAATTAATTAAATAATTTATTATTATTATTTTCACGCATTAATAAAATCAAATTATAATAATTAATAAATGACTGATTATTTTTACAAACATTTCACATCGAAACGAGTTTTTTGAGGTATCCCAAATATGTGAGCCCTAATATTGGCACATGCAGCAACAAAATCCATAGCTTCTTTGTTATCTTTGTCCCAAATTAAATGATCTCCTTCTGCTAATTTCTTTAATTCTATTTTTAATTTTTCAACACTAACTGCAAATATTTTTGCACATTCTGCTATACTCCAAATTTTTAAATCTTTTAGTCCTGGATCTTCCGATTGACTAGTTCCAGCAACTTTTTCATTAAAAAAAAAAAAAAATTTATTATATACTTTTCAAAAAATATTTGATAAATTAAGTACATTTTAATAAAAATACCTGCATCTGGAAGTTCTTCCCAATTTAAAGGAGTGGGTGGTCTTCTTTTAGTCCAAAGTTTATCCATGCTAAGAAGGTATTTAATATCATCTCTAAAAAATTTCCCAAATAATTTTTTTGGATCATAATCACATTCTTGAGCCCAGTGGCGAGTAGATTTTCTTTCAACATTACCATTGGATTCTTTAATGGTGTTTGCTTTACTTTTTAAAGCATTTTCTCCAGCATCTGCAGCTGCTTCAGGGTCTTCTGTATCAGGTGATACATCTTGATCAGCATCTGCTTCTCCGAATAACTGACTGAAACAAAAAAAAATTAAAATTAGATAAAATATATGAATATTCGGTTGCAGTTTTATTTTAAATTATGATATTGTATACTTTGTTTAATACATACTTAAAGAGATGTTTTGACCATACAATACAGTGTATGGGCTCAGATGGAGTATTTCTGATGGTGCACCCTGGGTATGTTTTTTGGGCTGCTTTCGGTTCACATTCATAGCACCTAGTCATACCCTTTTTTATTAATTCAACTTGGCCATCATAACCAGCAGTGCCACTTTCAATTAAAGGAACATCGGCTGCTAAACACATTCTATTGACATGATTTCTGGCAGCACGATTATCTAATGCATTCATTACCAATGAAAATTTTTTGAAAAAATTTATATTATAATCAGTGCTGATAATACTGTCATGATAATGTTTAATAGAAACTTTGGGGTTAAATTGTAAAGCACTTTCTTTAGCAACTGCTGCTTTTGATTTCCCAACATGTTGTTTGTGAAATAAGAATTGCCTGTTTAGATTTGAAACGTCGATGGTATCAAGATCGATCTGAAAAATAAATACTGTAATTAAGAAATCCAAAAAAATTTAAAAATTTAAAAACTACAAGAGATTTTAATAAAAAGTACTGTTTTAAAAAAATAAATCTTTAATGCAAAATAGTATGGTTTAAAACCATACTAATAATAACAATAATATTATATATAAAATAGATATTATTGTACAAATGTTTAAAATTCTAAACAAACTGAAGAAAGCATATTATGGTTGAATTAAGAATTAGTTATTGACATTAATTGTGTAATACTTACTACTTCAATATCATTGAATCCTGAAAGTACTAAATTTTTTAACAATTCACATCCGATTCCCCCGGCGCCAACAACAAGAACTTTACTGTTAATAATTGCATTTCTTAAATCATCATCTAACACCCCAACTATACTAGCCGCCATTTTACTTAATTGAAGTGTATTAATTTAACGGAAATAGCGCTATGAAAATAAAATTTTTTTCCTTTATTTTGCAAAAGGTTTTTTAAAATATTTTTATCATAATCTATAATTTAAAAAATCAAGCCTTAATTAAATATAATAATAATATTTTAAAATTTTAATAAAAAAATTTTTTTTTTTTTTAATTTTGAATTTATTGCAAAGTAAAAAAGTAATAATTGTCACCGCCTTTTTAGGAAAGCACTTTCAAGTCGTCGACAAAAGTATTATCAAAATGGCGTCTATTGAATTTAGTTGTTTTGTAATTTCTTTATAAATCTATTTCATATTTCATTTGTTGTAAAATCACCTTTAAATGCTGTTTTGCTTTTCTTATGTATTATAATTTGTTATTGAATTTTTATTACAATGATAGTTTTTGAACCAGTTCAAGTGAGTTTAGACATTTAAAAAAATGATCAACCTATTTAAAAGGCTTGGCCTAAAAAATTAGATTTTTTTTAATGATACTTGATTTTTTAAGTATTTCAAATTTATTTTCAGGCTGCCATTTGGCATTGTCTTAATCATTATTCATACGATGATGCTATCTTCCTTGCCGAGCGACTTTACGCGGAAGGTAATTTCAAAAAATTTATTAAATAATTTTATTTCTATGTCAAAATAATTATCTACTCATTAAGACTTTCATATAATTGAAATCATTGTTAAATGTAAAATAAGTTCCATGAACTACACTTTTAACTCTTAAGTGTGTTTTTTCCAACTAATAGGTATTAAGGTGCTTGTAATAACATGTAATTAATCTATAAACATAATTAAAATTCTTTTACTCCACAAATCAAAGTGCCAGATATTTTGTCATTTAATTTATTTGTATATGATCAGAATTAATTCTTTTAAATTCCTTAGTAATTTACAGTGTTTTTCTTTATTACACTACCAAAAAAATTTTTGATGTATTACTATTAATACAATGCAATTACCCCAACACCAAATTTTTAAAATTAAATATTATAAAATCAGAGACCAATTTTTAAATAAAAAAAATAATTTTTATGCAAAGAACTTTTTAGTTGAACAATGAAAACAATAAATTTATAATTTTGCAAAGAATGCCCTTTTACAATTGCCTTTCAAAAAATTTACTTTCTGCCTAATACTTATTGGTCTATGTAAATTTAAAATAATGTTATGAGAAACAGTGGTGATATTTTAATAATTGTTCTGATTCTTATGTTCTTAAAAGTAACAGGAGAATTGGGAATGTAAGAAATATAAATTAAAACAAAAAAAAAAAAACTAGAATTAATATCATTTTTAAATTATAACTAAATTCTCAATTTAAATTGTTTTCAAAGAAAAAATTACAACATTTTAAAAATAATTTTTTGATCTTATGAAATTAAAAAATTATTTTTGTAAGAAAAAAATTAATAAAAGAAATTACTGAAAATGCTTTTCTCACAAAATATTTTTTTTTTCATAGAAAGTAAATTACTCTAAATATATGAGAATGAATTTTTTGTAATTTTTGAAGAAATATAAAACTAAGAAATTAATTTTTCGATCTTTATTTTTTTTATTTAAAAAATATTAAAATTTTTTTTTTTTTTTTTTTAACTCAGCCTAAATTATGTACTTTAATTTAATTAGTTAGAAGTTTGACTCACAGACCCATTGATGATATTTTTATCTAAATAATAACTAAAAATAAACTTTTTCAGTTGAATGTGACGAATCTCTATTTTTATTGGCTACATGCTATTATCGCTCAGGTCTGATCTCAATGGCTTACTCAACTTTAAAAAAGAAAGATGCTCATTCACCTCAAATAAGATGCCTACTAGCCAAGTGCTGTGTAGATCTGCAAAAGTAAATTCAAAATAAATAATAATAATAATAATAATTTTTTTTTATTATTATTCCGAATTTAAAAAAATTAAAAGTAGGTAATTTTCCCCTTGTATATATGTGTGAAATTTTTTTTATTATTAGGTACGCAGAAGCTGAATCCATTTTGACTGGACAAAGTATAATGAAATCAAAGGAAATAAATGATGATGACATAATATCAGAGTTTGGCGATGAATCGTGTTTTGTTTTTAAAATATTGGCCATTATTGCATCAAAAACTCACAGAATAGAACTTACAGCTGAAATGTATAAAAAATCATTAAAATTGAATCCTTTTTTATGGCATTCATTCGAACAACTCTGCAACTTAGGGTATGAACCTGATCCGAATGATATTTTCACCGTTTCTAAAATGGAAAATTTCACTTGTTGTCACGGAATAAATCCTGTTGTTAATTATGTCAACAATAACCTTAGCGAGAAGAACTATCCAGTAAATAATTCATCTAGTCACAACAATATGGATTTACATTATAAAAGGTACTTTTATTTTCATTCATTTCCCCCCCCCCTTTCTTTTACATGGTGTATTATTGTTTTTTCCTCTTTAGTTCTAGTACTCCTGTACAATTGATGAATGTGGCAAACTCGGGAACATGTGCTGTAAGACTTTTTGCTACCCCCGAAGAAAATATACCTATGACACCAAGTTCATTAGGAATAGCTACTTTATCATCTATACCATCGTCTAAAGTTAAAAAAAATTCAAGGTTGGTTTTTCAAAGAAATTTTTTAATACTTGATAATCTCATCAAGGTTTTTCGTAATAATAGTAAGAAGATGATAATAATAATAATAATAATAATAGGGTTGCACGTCAAATAATAATTATAATATTGAGTAAATTTTATTTTAAAAATATGAAATACTGCTAAACTTTATTTTTTACAGATTTCGTAGTATGTTTTCCCCTATTCAAATTCCAAGTTTCGGTTTGTTACCATTCAATTTTGACACGGGTAGTCCAGCAGACAATTCTTCTGCCTTGACACCTGATATATATGATTCTAAGAATAGATCGGTAATTTATATTATAAAAAATTAAATTAATGATTTTATTTCGATACGAATTCAATTGAAAAAATTTTATTATTATTATTATTATTATTATCAATACTCTTTTTAGTTATCGAACAAAGAAACTCCATTGCAACAGGGAAAGCCAGTGTTTAGCCAGTCTGGGAATACAAGCAACACTGCCAACATAGTTAATTCAAATCAATCGAATTCGGTGACTCCCCCTTTACAAAGCGTTCGAAGATCTACACGTTTGTTTTCAAGTAGCTGTTCCGTAAAGGAAAATAATAAAAGTCCAAAACATGGGAAATTTGTTAGTCCGAAATCACCGTCTAGAAAGACAAAAAGAGGGGTCTCGAAAACGAATTTAAGCATAAACAGTTTTAACGAAATCACTGTAAATAATAATGAGAAAAATCGAAACAATGATAAAAATAATATTCCCGTCGAACAGATAACAAATGAAAAAAATTCCGTATCTATATCGATGCAAGCATTGCAAATACAAAAAGATGCTGCCGGTCAGTAAGAAATTTATTATTTAAAATTAGTAAGAATTTTTATTTTAATTTAGTCTCTTTTTATAAATAAATGTATACGATTTGATTTTCCAGAGGGTCTTATGACATTATTGAGAGATATTGGAACTGCTTATTTAAATTTATCGAAATTTGAATGTTTAAAAGCAATCGAGTGTTTTAATAATTTATCACCATCTCAAAGAAATACCGGTTGGGTTTTGGCTATGATTGCTAAAGCATACTACGAACTTCCCGATTATCCAAATAGTATAAAGTTAGTATTATTATCAAAGCAGGATTTTTTAAATTCGATAAAAAAAAAAAAAAAATGATTTTGTACAATTTTTTTTTTAAAAAGATATTTCCGTAAAGTGAGGGAAACAGATCCGGAAAGATTGTTGTTAACCGAATTATACAGCACGGCTCTTTGGTTTTTACAACGTGAG